GGATCAACAATACTTTTCGAATGAAAATACGTCAAAAGGCAAAACATCTTTGACTAACATGTTCTTATTAAAGTATTTCAAGAGCACCAGACCTAGGATTCTGACTTTCCTAATCAAAAGCTTCTGGAAAAATCCATCAGCTGTTCATTTAACTACAAGAGGATCACAACATTGTAAGCCAAATCAAGATTAAATGTAAATAGAAAATCATTTAGAATGATTTCCTTTATTTCGAGGCACAAAAAAGAAGTTAACAATTATATAAGTACGTCCATGAATAATTGCTGGCGTCTCAAGTACTGTAGTATTATGCATAACATTTTAATAATGCCCAATATATTAACCACGGAATTTCAGAGCTTGAATGATTTTTAAAATTAGCACAATCAACAAACGGGCATGGATACACATGGATTACCGGATAAATGAGAACAGATGCTGTATTGCTGACTATGAGGAAAACTGATTTTTATAAAAACAGCACTTATTCAATGGATTGAGCTTATATTCTCGGGCCTGAAAAGATGCATATAAATACAGTACAGCAATATAAAAGCCATTTTTAAATGTACTGTAGTATTCACAGTATTTTTCTATATCTGCATGAGGTTAATGCATGAAAATATGACCTTCGCATATATACTATAGACTCACCACTGAGCAATGGTCGGAAACGCGACGAAGAATCTCGTTCCGATTAACAGCGGATGCGTAGAAATCCAGGCCTCAGACATCTTATTTACCACGGCAACACTTGTCAACTTCGCACATCTTTCCGGAGTCAAAGGATTCAAAAAAGTCGAGTAATCGTCTCGGGTCAACTGCAGAAAAAGAAAAGCAAACGGAAAGTCCGAGTAGAGTTTGAAATTCTCGACTATGCCTTCGTGCGTGTAGGAAAACAGCATGTTCAAAAATGCTGAAAATTTTCAGAAAATGACTGTAATACACACGATATACTTCGTTATACTCACCCATTGTATACCTTCAAGTGCCTTCCAACTGTTCGAAACGAAATTCGTCGTCACTGCGCCAGGACAAATGACAGTTACGTGAATGCCGTTACTGCTGACTTCCATCCGAAGACTATTCATGTACGCCTTAAAAAATGCAAAAATATTCTCTATCCTAAATAAACCTTTTCCACTCAAAAAAAAGACGGATGACTTCGCGGAATCCCATGTATACGATCGAATAAAGTATACATTCCGATCATGAGGACATCAAAATGATTTATATTTTTTATTCAAGTTGCTCATATAAAAGCGTGAAAAAGGGAATAAAAGGTTGAACATTACGAAAGCACTTTCCAGACTTCCCTCAATTTTAAAAAATGCACACATTTTCCCAGTGGATAAGTATTGTACAGAATACTTGAATTTTATTTGAATGACTCTTCGTGTTTCAATGAAAATAATTATGGAAATCCATGAACACGAATTTAAAATTTTTACGAAAGGTTTTACAGAAATCATTTCTTCAGAATATCCAGTTCTATGGTTCAAATCCAGTTCTATGCTGAGCACCAGCCTCATGAAGATTTAAGAAGTGCACAAGGTACTTTTGATTGCTTTTGCTTTCGTATTATTTATATTTTTCAAACAATATTACACTTCTTCCCTGTAAAAGAATATCTCTGTTCACCAATAGAGCAGAGACCAGTATTATACAGGTAGAATAATGACTTTCTCCCCAAAAAGTTTCGTTTTCAATGATTTTCCCTGTATACAACGAATTTGGGGGAGGAGGTCTCTTTATATCTATGCGCGTTCCTAAAATGGAATTCACCCTTCAAAAAATGTGTTATTTTGGTCCCTTGAATTTTTTATAGCGTTACATATAGAGTCAACCTGTAAATGAATTATGAATGCATGATATACAAGGAACAAAGTTATTCGCTTTGAATCTCACGAAAGCTATTTAAGTACTTCAAATCTCACCCAAAAAGATCGCCAACTTTCTTACATGAATGGCAGCCTTCGATGCGCAATATGAGGAAACGTTCGGAGCAGTCATATACGCCATCACGCTGGCGATTTGCA